GCCCCCTACCGGACTGCCCTTGGCCCAGGCCCCTCCTATGTTCCATACCTTTCGACAGCAAACTTCCCCTTCTTACTTCATTCATATCAAACTAGCCTAGAATTGGGCCAAGGATTCTCCCCATTAAACCCACATCACTTTATCTTCTTCCTAAATCCTCCCAGCTGACACTACATCCCAGCTTCATCTGCTCCTAGAGGTCTCCTACCCTTGAGAGTCAATCCATCAGAGTCTAGGCCCATGCTTGGGGGTGGGAAGGTCACAGGCACAGCCCCAGAATCAGAGGGGCAGGGCTGGGGCTGGGCCTGGGGTAACATTGTGTTTCTCTCCCTTCCTCCCTTTCCTCTTCCCCCTTCCTCCCATGCCTCCACCTTGTCTCTCTCTAGCAAATCCCAGTCTCTGACCAATGCCTTCAACCTTCCAGAGCCAGCCCCGCCCAGGCCCAGCCTTAGCCAGGACGAGGTGAAAGCTGAGACCATCCGCAGCCTGAGGAAGTCTTTCGCCAGCCTCTTCTCCGACTGACACCCCACTCTGAGAACCCCTAAATCCCTAGACAACCCTCTCTGGGTCCTGAGTCCATTTCTCACTTTCGGAATCTCCAAATCCCTCGAGAACCCCTCTCCTGGTTCTCCAACGCCCCACTTCTCATTCCTCAAGATGTCGGTATCCCTTGAGAACCCTGGTCCTAAATCCAGTTCTCACATTTGGGAATCCCCAAGTCCATTTAGAATCCTGCTCCTGGTCACTTCCAGATCTGTTTTAAAATCTCCAAATTCCCGAAGACCTATACTTGTGGAACCCCTGAAAGGTGATTTCCTCCCTGGAAGTTCCTCAATACCAGAATTCTTTCTGGCCTAATCCTGGAGCTCTGAAATTCCTGGGAAACCCTATTCTACTCTTGGTCCTGGATCTCTCCAGAACACCTTGCTCCTACTCAAAAGTTTCCAATTCCTCAAGAAGCCCCTACCCTTAAACCCCTTCCATAGATCATCTCTCTGGAGATCCACATCTTCAAATGGCACCTACCATCCACCACCCAGTCCCTCAAGGACATCCCTTCACCTGTTCCTCTCAACCCCACACAACACACTGGAAGTTCCTTCCACTTCTAGGACCCCTCAGTTTCCTCCTCCAGAAAACCCCTCCCCAATTTCCCGCCTCTGACAGCTGTCTTTAAATATGCAAACTCCACCCATCCTCTCAGAATCCTTTGCACAAGAAAGGCCAGTGGTCTCCCCACTCCCCCACCTTTGCCAATGTCTGTGTCTGTGACTGACTTGGCTTCCTCTTGTGCCATGCTTGGCATATGTGATCCTCGTTCGTGCCGCCCGTGGTAATGCGTACAGTGGCGCTGTTTGTGTGGTCTGCACCTTGCTCCAACCTCCACTCCTTGCCTGGACTTGCCCCACCCCTCAGCGGCTCTGAACCCCAAGAGAAGAGTCGGGAAGCAAAATAAACAAGCAAAGGCCCAGCAGAATTCTGTGCTTCTTGGTAAAGAGGAGAGTCCTTGAATAGTGGGGGAGACAAAGAGAAACTTCCAAATCCATATGGGGTGCTGGGAACCCCAAAATCCAGTGAAGACACATCAGGCAAAAACTTTAGAAAGAGGTTCTGAGTGGAATCCTTGACATGAACCCCACCCATTGGAGATGAAACAGCTCTCCAAGTTAGAAGTACCCCCAAAGCCAAGAGGAAATCAAATTATAGAGGAAGCAGGGGATCTCAGTTTGGGGGGTCCCCCAAATTCCCAGGGTGTGGGATAGGGAATCCTGAGGCAGTATCAAGGCAGAGGCAGAACCATGACTGGCTGGTAAGGAGGGGTGCCTTGGCACGGCACGCTGAAATTGGCTCCCTGGTGGCTGGGAGCGGGCCTAAGGCACAAGGCGGGCTGCGCTGAGAAGGCAGGCAGGCAACTCGTCAGCCTGGGTGCGGTGCAAGGAGGGTTCGGAGGCACTCCGCTCAATCTTGGGGAGTGACCGCTGCAGTAGCTCGATCGTGGCCAGGATCTGGGAGCAGGTGAAGATGAGGAGGGGTGTCCAGAGTCCCAGAGACTCCCCCAACATCCCCAATTCCCAGCCTTCAACATGGTTCATTCTCATCTGCCTCTACCTCTGTATTCTCCTCTACCCAAGACATCCAGCCCTCCTACCCAGCCAACCTGGGGAAATAGGGGCCGCTCCTCCCGCTGGAACTTGAGGCAGTCAGACAGCAGGCGCCTCATGGCCTTGGGGCAATTACTGAAGATTTTGCTGAGGTCCGGAGACAGATAGCCACGGCCCACCATAAAGATGATCTGGTGTGGGGGGAATGAGTTTATTTTGAGATCGGGCTGGGAAGCCCAAGGAACTATGAATCACAAGAGATATGGAAGGTTAACTTTTGAGGGACCCAGAGGAGTCTGGGTCCCTAAGGACTTGGGAAGATTTTTCTACTGCTAGAATAGAGGGATTTAAATTCAGGGTGTCAAAGATTATAGGTGTGTATGGCCCAGAACAATAGGACTCCAGAGTTTATAGGGGGCTTAAGCCTGGAAAATACTGAAACTCAGGGAAGGTAAAGTAATGATTCTTGGGGAAACTTCCATTTCTGTAGGGGTCTGGGGTGTAAGTGACTGTAAGTCTATGTAGACTGTGAAGTATTCAAGGTTCAAATACTTGGTATCTGGAACCTAGAGAATACTGGTATCTAAGAACATGGAAGGTTCTAGACCTTGAATTTGGAGAACTGTGAGAATCTAAGACCTAGAGTGTTATGGATGCTAGGACCCCAAACCCTGGATGACTATGGGTATTTGAAAAACACAAAAGGCTTGAGTGTTGGGCACTTGGGGTATTTTGGGCAGGAGACTGTAAGTACTGAAGGGTTCAGAGGGCTTCTGGATGTTTGGGAGTCCAGGAACATTCTGAATTTAGGCAGTCAAAAGAATCTGGATTTGAAGGGTTCTGGCTCAGAGGTTTGTGGATGTAGGGGGGAGGATAGGAGTTAATATGAGTCATCTAGGAGACAGACTCTAGGACCCTTTATCCAGAAAATCCTAGGTTTGGTGGGGGACTATTAACATTACCGTTCTGTACAAAGGAGGGGACCTGGAGCATGAAGCCCTGAGAACTGAGGGTAAGCTGGGCTCACCTGGTCACGGCTGCCAATGTGGCTGTAGGGCAGTGAGCCAGTCATAAGCTCATAAAGCACAACACCGTAGGCATAGACATCCGACTGGAAGCTGTAGGGGTTCGGGTCCTGCATACGAATCACCTCAGCTGCCTTTGGTAGGCCAGACAGGGGAAGGGAACCATGAGAGTCAAGAGGTGGGCAGTCCAGATACCCACACCTGGCACAAGTATCCCCACTTTGCCTCACAGGTCCCAATCCAGAAGCCTGCATCTCCCATTGCTCCCCAGCTAGCCTGGCCCAACTTACCATCCATAACACAGACCCTGAGGGCTGCTCTAAGGGCTGGGCCCCACTCCACCGTGTCTTCACTGTGGCCAGGCCGAAGTCACCAATCTTGACTGTGAGTCCCTCATGTAGGAAGATATCCAGCAAGGTCAAGGACCATTACAGGAAATCCCAATAGCTATGCCTCTTACCCTGACTGGGAGGTTCTCAGAACTCCTGTGCTGGTGAGTCATGTCTCTGACCAGAAGCCACCCCATTTCATACTAACTATCCACAATTCGGTCCCATTGTGACGCAAGAAGTCCCTTGGACAACACCTAAAGCTGTCATGCCTGGGACACTGACCATGAGTTGCCTATAATGTCCACTACAATTGCTACATCTCTTATCCTGACCAGAGTACCCAACAGTATGTGAACCAACCATCTCCTAAACAAAGATCCTTCATTTAAAGACCCTTCACCAGCCATAAGCTCTGCTACCTGGCAAGAAACCATGGAATACAAGCCCTTCCTTTTTCACCTCCAGAATCTTACCCCAAGAACCGTACCTCTAAGTTTTCACCCTAATTAATATCTACCCCAATCCCAGCCAGGGACAGATAGATACTGTTGGACTTGAGATCTCGGTGGATGATGTTCTTGGCGTGGAGGTAGCTGTAGAGATGGAAGCGGGTAGTGAATTGCCTGGAGACTGTTTCATCTCTCCCTCCCTCCTCCCTGACTCTCTTAAGATGTGAGGCTCACTCCATGCCCTGGGCAGTCTGCCGGGCCACATCAATGAGCTGGACCATGTCAAAGCGCGTGTCAGCCACATGTAGGTGGTGGTAGAGACTGGAACCCTCACACCATTGTGTGATGATAGCAAACCCCGGCCGGGTCATGAAACCCATGAACAGCAAAATGTTGACATGTCGTGTCTTCCTGTAGGCAGGGAGGATAGGTTGGGGAAAGGGGTTAGGAAATAGAACAAGTGTCATGCATTTACTCAGTAACAGGAAAAGCAATGTCAACTGCCTTCTCTATCATTGAACCTTCTCTTTAAGGGTGCTCAGGTCCAGAATGCTGTCAGATCCCAATTTTCGAGACTTGGTGGGCTGATTCTTTACTGGGGGTTAGGAGGAAGTGGATGTCCTGACCTTCCTCAACAAAATTCTATTATTTGCTTCCATTTTTGAAATAGGGTCTCATGCTGTATACCAAGCTGGCCTGGAGCTCACAAAGTAGCCTGGGCAGGCCTCAAACTCTCAGTGATCTCAGTGATCCTCCTACCCCAACCTCACAAGCACTGAGATCATGGGCAGGAGCCCCCACCCCCAACAGTGGCTATTTTACAGATGACAAAATGAGAAGCCGACCTTTTTTCTCGATACTGATAAACACGGGGTCAAGACATGGAGGCATGTGTGACATGTGAGGATGACAGTCTACTAATCACTTTGAGAGGCTTAGAGGTAAAGAATCTGTAGTCTGGAACTATATTATAGCCAAAGCCCAGTTCCAACCTTCACCAGTTACTTGGAGAGGACCTCTAACCTTTTTGGTCCTCTTGTTTCCAAACTATACCACTGTTATCATTACAGCAGCTGCTTTATAAGGATGTCACTAAGGGTGAGGAAACACCCTGTAGAGTGCTTAAAACTAAGCTGAACAAATAGTAAACACTCTAAAAATTCCAGTTTGTTCTGGGTACCTGGGTCTATCTCACATTAACTGTCATGTACAAATCCTTTTGGCATAGTTGATGAGAAAAGCCCATTCTTTTATATAAGTATTGACCATATTAGAATATACAAATGCAAAAAAAGGGGATGACACTTAGGTCACAGAAGACAACAGAGCACCAAGACATTCCCTTCTTGTTTTTGATACCTGACATGGAACCCAGAGCCCTTCGTATGCTAAGTACACACTCTACCACTGAGTTCTACATGCAAGGATTGTTTTTTGGTTTTTGAAACAGGGTTTCCTGTGTCTCAGGCTGCTTCAAATTCCTGATTCTCACATCTTAGCCTACCAATTGCTTGGAGTATGGTCACGTACTACCACACAAACACACACACA